CTTGTTCCTGATTTCAAGGTAAAAACAATCTTCACCATTAAGTATGATGTTATCTGTAGATTACTCGTAAGTACACTCTGGGATTTAGGAAATTCCCTTCTATTCCTAGTTTGAGGAGAGTTTTTTTTTTAGTATGTAATGAACATTGGATTTTGTCAAATTTTTTTTTGCATCTACTGCTACGATCATATGCTTTGTCTTTTCTAGCTTGTTCATTTTGAAATTTAAATTAATCTTATATTCCTAGGACTAACTCTCCTTGATCACAAGTTTTATTTTTAGATTTTTTTTTTTTTTTACTAATCTTTTAAGAATTTCTAAATGTATTTTGCATGTGGGATGTTGTGGAGTTTTCTTTTCTTTCAGCGTTTTTGCCTGATTTTGGTGGCAGAAATGTTCAAAGAACTGGAGGTATCCCCCTTTCTAAAATCTGGAAAAATCTATGTAGAATTTGTAATATTTTTCTTTAACTGTCTGAAACAATTCACTGGTGAAATCACTAAGGCCTGGAATTTTCTTTGTGGGAAAACTTTTAAGAACAAATTCAATTTCTTTAGCACAAATAGTGCTATCCAAGTTTTCTATTTTCTTGACTGAGCTTTGGTAATCTGTGTCATTCATGGAAGTTATCCATTTCATCTTAGTTGTCAAATTTAAAAGCACATCTTTATTCATAATACTTCCTTAGTTCTTTTAATATCTGTAGAATCTATAATGACATTATTTCTCTCATTTCAGATATTTTATTTGCAACTTCTGTCCTTTATTCTAGATTATGATTGGAGATTTACTGATTTTATCAATCTTTGCAAAGAATCAACAATTGGTTTCAATGATCTCTATTATTTTTCTGTCTTTTGTTTACTGATATATGCTCTAATCTTTATCATTTCCTATATGCTGCTTACTTAAGCGTTAACTTGCTCTTCCCTACCCCTACCTTTCTGAAGTGGAAGATAGGGCCATTAACTGAAACCTTTCTTTTCAAGTGTAAGTGTTCAGTGCTATAAATTTCCCTCTAAATATCATGTTAGCAGCATCCTACAAATTCTGAAATGTTCTGTTACCATGTTCAGCTGAAAATACTTCTTAAAATCCTTTTTGAATTCTCAGTGTTGGAAATGTGTTACTTAGTTTCCAAATATTTGGCGATTTCCCAGGTAACTTCTTGCTACTGGTTTGTAAAAAAAAAAAATTAATCCCATTGTAATCAGAGAACATACTTTGTAGTGCTTGAATTCTAAATTTAGCTTTATTTTATGGCTCATTGATAAATGTTTTGCACACATTTGAAAAGAGTGTATATTCTACTGATGTTGGATTGTATCCAACTGGGTTCATTTTGTGTCAACTGGGCCAAGTTAGTTGACAGTATTGCTCAAGTCTCATTATGTTTATTTTCTGTTAACTTGTTCTTTTAATGTAGAAAGAGTGGAAAAAATTGGACAATAGGCACGTTTTTGTACTAACCTAATTCTCTTTATGTGCCTTCAGTTTTTGCTTCACATAAAGATTGTCTGACCCCTTTATCATTATGAAAATATAATTTGCTCTGATATGTAGTTCAATATGAACACTGTCACATCAGCTGTATTATGGCTAATGTCAACACAGTGTATCATTGTCCATCCATCTAACCTATTTTTGTCTTTTTTATTTATTAGAGGGTAATTTCTTTTAGGTACTATATAAACTTGGTCTTGCTTATTATCTAACATGCCAATCTTACTTTTAAATGGGATGCTTAGATCATTATGCTTAGGTTTAAGGATACTATCTTACAATTTGTTTTCTATCATTTTAGTAGTTGCTTTAAAGTTCATAGTAAATATCTATAATATTTCAAGTAATATATTACTTTACACATGAGAATTTTATATAATAATATACTTAAGATTTCTTTTCTCCTGCCTTTGTTATTATCATATATTGTACTAGGATGTTATCCCCACCATAATTATTATATTTTAGAGATTTAAATAAAAATCTTCTGTATTTATTCTTGTTATTTTAATTTCCAGTGACCTTCATTTTTTTGTATAGATATGTTGTTCCATCTTGGAACATTTTCCTTCTGCTTCATGGATCCACCTTAAACATTTCTGGAAGTGTGAGTCTGCTAGTAATAAACTCCTTCTGCTTCTGTATTTCTAGCAATATCTTTATTTCACCTTTTTTTGGGGGGGGCAGTTTGAATCAGGGCCTCACACTTGCTAGGCAGGCACTCTACCACCCAAGTCACCTCTAGTCCTTTTTATTTTAGTTATTTCTGAGATAGGGTCTCATGTTTTTCCCCAAGATAAACTGAACTGCAATCCTTTCATTTAGGCTTCCCATGTAACTGGGATGTTGGGCACACATCACCATACACAGCTATTGGTTAAGATGGGTCTTGCTAACTTTTTGCCCAGGTTGCCTTTGAACTGCAATCCTCTCAATCTCTGCCTCCCAAGCAGCTGGGATTACAGGCATGAGCCATTGTACCCAGATTTTTCATTTTTGAAAAATATTCTGCTGGAGTATAGTATTATAGGTTGATTTTTTTTTTTTTTAGTACTTTAAAGATGATGCTCAAACTTTTTCTTAGTTGCATTGTTTCTGACAAAAATACAGTGTCATTCTTATCGTAGTTATCCTTAAAAAGTGTCTTTTCTCAGGCTGCTTTTAAGGTTTTCTCTATCAATGGCTTCGAATAACTCAATTATGACATGCCTTAGTGTAGCTTTCTTCTTGTTTCTTATCTTGGGGATTCACTGAGCTTCTTGGATCTATGGATTTACAGTTTTCCTCATCCTTTGAAAAATATTAGCCATTATTTCTTCACACACTTTTTTTCCTTCCTGTTTTCTTCTCTCTTTTGGAGACTTCAGTTACATGTCTGTTTGGCCACTTCTAGCTATCCCTTGGTTCACTGGTGTTTTTCATTTTTCTAAGTTTCTTTTTTCTTTGAATTTTGTTTTAGATAGTTTCTATTGTTATGTGTTAAAGTTTACCAATCTTTTCTTCTGTCATTAATATCCAGTGTATTTTTCATTTCACATACAATAGTTCACTGAGTCTTTTTATTTGTTTTTTTTTTTTGGGGGGGCACTGAACTTAGGGCTTCATTAGGCAGGCCCTCTACTGCTTGAGCCATGTCTCTAGCCCTTTTTGCTATGGTTATTTTAGAGTTAGAAGTCTCACTTTTTGCCTAGGCCAGCCTATACCACAATCCTCCTATTTTATACTTCCTGCCTTAGCTGGGTAATAGTCATATGCCATCACACTCAGCTTTTCTCTGTTGAGATGAGGTCTAATGAACTTTTTTGCTTGGGTTGGTCTGGAACTGTGATCCTCCTAATCTCAGTTTCCTAAGCAGATATGGTGAGAGGTGTGAGTCACTGGCACCCAGTCTTTTTTTTTTTTTTTTTTTAATAACTTCCATTTTTCTGCTTAACTTTTGAACATATCAAGCAATTAAAACAATTAATGTGCTTATCTGTTATTCTATGATCTGTGTAGGTCTTGCGCGAGTTTCAATCAACTGATCATCCTTTTTATTATTGACTGCACTTTCCTGACTCTTTGCATGCCCATTAATCTTTGAATGGATGCCAGGCATTGTGGATTTTATCTGTTGGATACTGGATATTTTTGCATTTCTATTTTTTTGTGTGTGCTTTGTTTCCAGATACAGTTACATGAGAACAGTTTGATCCTTTTCAGTCTTACTTTTATTATTTGTTAGCTAAGTCTGGAACAGTGCTCAAGCTATGGCTAATTGTTTCCTGCTACTGAGAAAGCCCTTTCTGTGTATTCTACCCAAAACACAATGAATTATGAGATTTTCCAGTTGAGCCAGTGGGATCAGGAACTATTTCCAGTCCTGCGTGAATATCAGGCTCTATTCCTTCTAATCCTTTCAGATGGGTTCTCCTTTGGTCTTGGGTAGCTTCCTCATTTGCATGCACTGAGCAGTGGTACATTCCTTAATACCTGATAAGGACCTTCTGCAGATCTTGGTGACCTTTCTTTTTTCTGTGAAGTTCTATCTTCTCTGGTACTTTGTCCTGCATATTCTAGCTACTTTTTTGTCCCTAGACTTTCAGTTCCATTTCCTTGAATTAGGGAGTCTGCTGGGTCAACCTAGGTTCTCTTTCCCTAGACCATGATCTGAAAACTCTCTTAAGGCAATAAGCTGGGAAATCACACAGGACTCAGCCCATTTGTTATTTACATCTCAGAGATCACTAATTAGCATGGTCTTCAGTGCCTTGAAAGTTATTACTTACTATATTTTTACTTTAAAAATGTTCCAAGTGAATATGAATTCAGTTTCTATTATTTCAAATGAGTAGAAGCCCTGAGTTTTTATTTTTACTAATAATATAGACAAAACAAAGTGAAATGTTGACAGAGGAAATAATTGAATACTAAAAGAAGAGAGATGTAGATAACTTCCTCATATTTACCTCTGTTTAGCAGAGGTATATTTCTTTGCTTGCTGGCCTTATCACATACTGACACAATCAGCATCACCTGTGCTTTGTCTTGGAGCACTTAATTCTATGTGGATAACCTCTGATGAGATTCTAAAATGTTCCCCATGGGACTAGGTGCCACTGTCCTTAAAGAAAAGTAAGATTGTGGCAGGGGTGTTGAACATGGAGAAAGCAACACTGTTCTACTTCCTTTATATCTAAAGGCTATTAAGTTTCTTTCTTATCTGTCTGAATTAAGAAGTCACAGTAAAAATTATTTTTTCCAGTAACATAGAGTATCCTCAAGGAGGTAAAGAAGAAGGAAAAGGTATTACTTGGATGAAGCTGGAGAGAATGATTGCTGTTAAAACTCATAATGACCAAATTTTACTTCTTGAGTTGTGTTCCTTCCATACAAGTTTATTCTGGGGTCCTCTGGTGAGAAGCCAAAGGCTCTCAGCTCATGTTTTTGATTGTTTAAGAACAAGAAAAAAAAACCTACTTGTCTCCCACCTACTAACAATGTTGAGAATTAATTACCTGCTTGAAGCAATGGACAGGCGCTGGGACTGAACATGTTTCTTTTAGGTATTTGTCCCAGGTAAAATGACCTGTAAAGGAAATAGAAATCTCTATCACAGTCAACTTCCTAAAAAACACTTTTGGGATATAATCTCTCTAAACACGAAGCCATTTGCAGAATGGTTTTGAGCAAAAGAAAACTATTTTTTTTTCCTATTTGGACACAAAGGAGTATTAGGGGGAAGAATCTAGGTGACCTGACTGGATGCAAAATGCCAGAGTAACACATACTAGTATCACAAAGAAGTGCCAGGATGCTCAAGGAAAACAGAAGAGGTGGAAAGTGACTAGGGAGATTCCTAGAGGGGCCCCCTAATGCTGACAGTTTTCAAATGATAGCTTTTAAGACCCATTATGGTTGGATCCTACTACCTCAGCTTAGGAAGAATGAAGTAAAGGCTATCTTGAGAAATGAAGTGAGAAGATTTGGGTGAGGGGAGGGAAAGCCAAATGAGTGATATTATACTTGAGTTCTCACTCTTAAAACTGACTTTCTCTCATCTGCACCTACTTCTATCCCAATAGCTGCATTTCTTTGAGGTATGAAATGACAAAGATCCAATAATCTAGAGAAAAATAGGACCTGGGAAGCATTTCTAGTAACAGTAAGTAAGAACAAGTTGAAAAGTCTACAGAATCTTTTAGCCTCTTTAAATTACCTTAGAGTCTCTCAAAGTTTAAAGAACGTGCTAAAGGAACAATTTTTAAGGTGACACTATGCTGGGGCCAGGAAAACATGTAAGGACAGGTTGTTAAATATAGGTCTCACTGGACCACAAAAGATTACCAAGTTCTTTAAAGGTTAATAAACAAATTAGCAATCACCTCCTAATACCCACCTAGAGGTGACCCCATGATGGAGCACGGAAGGTCCCAGAGACTCTCACAAGCTAAAACACTGTAGCAAACCAGCATTTCTTGAAGTTTCGTCTGTAGTGGAGCAGCACAGGGCCCCTTTGGGCCATGCGAAAAGCACTAGATACTGGGAATAAAAATGAGTCACTGAATGATTAAATCTAAATCACTCCAAAGATGATGCCAAGACTTAACACTCTACTGGCTTTACAGCTTCTGTTTTAAAACTGATTCCTTTTTCTATCTTCCTAAGATAGAAACTCTAAGTCAAATAGAGTTGGCCAGAAATGATAGTTCTGAAACATTTCATAAACTAGCCAAAGATTAATCATCATGGCCAGATGTTAAGTCCATAGAGTAAAATATATGGCTATTTCCTGGAGTGAAGATTTAAAGAAGTTATCAGAATTTAATAAAGAATTTTCTCTTAGCTGAGAGGATCTTAAATCAAGGACTGAATACCTTTCACCATTTTTCACTGTTAGAAAAAGAAAATATTGCCAATTATTACTCCATCTTTACAGATTAAAAATTAAATCCAATAGTTAGTCTTGGATTCACTGGACTGAGAATCTTAAATTCTAGCACCTAAAGCAGCAAGTCCACTAGAACTTTCTGTGCTGATAGAAATGTTCTGTATCTGTGCTTGGATGAAAGTAACCACTAACCACATGTTAACTATTGAACACCTGAAATGTGGCTTGTGTGAATAAGGAATTAAATTTTAAATTTTATTCAATTTTAAATAATATAAATATCTACATATGCCTGACAGCTAATGAACTTGGCAGCACAGATCTAGAGGTTTATTTAGTCCTGGGTAACTGCTTGTATTAACTTTTGAGTTCTGACCAAAATCACCCAAGAGACTACAATTTTAAGAATTATGGCAGCATCAGAGGTACTACAATAATTACAGTATTAATTACAGTTCTCTATTACACATAACAACCATGGTAATCAACTCCTATGCTGTAAGATAAACAGGTCAGAAACCTTAGACCTTACACCACTTAGGAAATTGAATAAAAAGGAATCTCTTTGTTAGAAGCAGTTTACCCTTGTGATGGCTGATTGGCTTGAACAATGACTAGTTTAGTATTTTTCTTATACTTGACTAGGGCTGTTTAAAACTTCATCCCTTGCAAATTAAGATAATTTTTACTGGCTCATTCAAGAATATATGAACACCTACAATCATGCTTATAATAAAGTCAGATATCATGTATCTTTCATATCTGCAAGCTATAAAATAACCACAAAAGAACTGACAGGCAGAAAAATATAGATCCAGAGTTGGTAAAGGGCAAGATAATAAAAAATTATGCTTTGTAAACCATATAGCCTATATAATAATTACTATATTTTCCCATTGTATTGTGATAGCAGCCAGAGACAATGCACAAATGAAAGAATATGACTGCATTCTATTAAAACTTCATCAACAAAACAGGTAGCAGGCTAGATTTGGCCTCCAAACAATGGTTTGCCACCCCATGATCTAAATCATTGATTACAAAACCGTAATTATAGTTGTTCTCATTTCTTCAAGCTCAGGGTCCCACCTTCAGAAGTTATTACACAATAGGCTTCAAATGTGGCCTGATAATGTATATTTTCAAGGTTTCACAGGTAATTCTGATTAAAGCTTATTATCTGGAAACTACTGTTATAGTTGAAGGAATGTGATATTGGAAGTCGGAAGATGTTAAAGTCTTGTTTCTATAGTTAACTACCTTAGGTAAATTACTTAATCTTCCAAGCCTCAGTTTACTCATCTGAAAGATGGAGATAATATGGAGCACATATGATTGTACATACATTCTTCATCCAATAAATATTTAAATTCCTCCAAGGTGCAAAGAATGACGATAAATGTCAGGGGAAGAAGATAGACACAGTTCCTAAAGTCATGGAGGTTTCAGTGTAGAGGTAAGCAGAGATGTTATATAAATAATAACACAAATAGTGTTACACTTAACATAAATTTAAGTTAATGAGGTAGTACAGATTGGCATGAGGATGTAGCACAGGGAAATTTAGTCCATATTTGGGGTTGAGGGAATCACTGTGAAGATTAATATTATTAACTAATAAAGGTATAATATTTTATAATATAAACATATATAACTTGAGTGTCTTCAATTCTTTAAACATTATTAGTCAAAACATTAGGATTTGAGTGTTTTCAGTTATTTGTTCAAGAAATGTTTACTGAGCATCCTCTATGTGCCAGGCAGTATAAAAGACATTCCTACCCTCTTGGAATTTATATTTTGGTGTGTGATGAGACACAATTAACACAAAAACAAATAAATAATCAAGGTGATAAGTGATAAATATTTGAAGGGAGTAAAATGAGGTGATGTACTAGAGACTGTGAACTATCTTAATGAAGTTATGGAAATAAGATCTACAGAAGAAATATTTGAGCTTATACCTTACAAATGAAAAAGGCCAGCCATCTTATTTATATCACTGAACTATAAGTGTTTTATAAATTCTAACATATACCATATGACAATTACATTTGTTATTAGGAAAATAAGATCCTTGCTCTGCAGGGACTCAGAAATGACATAAAATTATCTGTAAAAAAATGAGAAGGCTGGGGGTGGTGGCATATATCAGTAATCCCAGCTACTTGGGAGGCAGAGGTAGAAGGATCCTTGTGTGAGGCCAGCCTGAACAAAAGTACAAGACCTTATCTGAAAAACAAACTAAAAAGCAAAAGGACAGGGGGCATGGCTCAAGTGGTAGAGCATTTGCCTAACAAAATTGAAGCCCTGAGTTCAATCCCCAATACCACACACACACACACACACACACACACACACACACACAAATTAAAAGACCCATAAAATATAAAGCACAAGAGGTCACCTGGTTGAATGCATGAATCCTTTTCCCCAATATTTATTCATTCAACAAATATTTATTGAACATCTTCTATATGCCAAGCCTAGTTCTAAGGATAAAGTACACATATAGTATTGCTATTCGCTAAGAGCAACAGAGCCAAAGTCTCTGCCCACCTGGAGCTTACATTCTAAGTGGGAAGATAGATAATAAATAAATAAATAAATGCTTATTTATTTGGTGGATATTCATGCCGGTTATTATTCTGGTCACAATTTCTCTTCAAGAATTCTATTTTATGCCACCTAAATGTGGAACTCAAATTCCTAAGAACAATAAAGATAATCAATGTCATTAGGTCAGAAATCCTACTCCAAAATTACTATCTAAACAGTGTTCCACTGTTCATATGTACCATAACTGACATAACCTAGCAACAATGTTTGTTAGGTCCTATGGAGGATCATTTAAGTGTTTTCTGATTTTTAATGCATATCTTTGTGTATACATCTTTGAATTTTTTTTAAGATTATCTCTGTAATGGTTCATCTTGATTGTTCACTTGATTGGATTGAGAGATTGATGGGAGATTAGTAAAGCATACCTCGGAATGTGTCTGTGAGGCTGATTCCAGAGATAACTAGACCATGAAGGCTCTTCCCTAATCGATGGCTTAATCTACTGATGGATTAAAAATCTGAATAGACAATTGGGAGGGGGTGGAACTGTGGAAGTTGGGACTTAGTTGGAGGAAGTAAGTGTCTGGGGGTATACCATTGAAGAGTATTATCTTGGCCCTGATCCCTTCTGTTACTCCTCTTTTGTTTCCTGGCTGCCACGAGGTGAAAAGTTTTCCTATGCCATGCCCTTCCTCTCTAATGCTTCTGCCTTGCCACAGACCTAACAGCAATGGACCATCACGTCTGGCAATTAGCTTGATATATTTAATGGATCACTTAAAAATAAAAAACCAGCCCCCCCCCCCAAATTTCTGAAAACAAGGAACTAAATTATATAACATTAGTGCCCTTTTAAATATACCATTAGACAACCTCCTAGTTAAAATGAAGAGCTCATCAAATACCCTGGCTGAAAAAGGGAGGTTTCAATTAGAAGCTCAGTTCCCAGTACTAATGCAATGGTTTTATTAGTACACAGTTCTACCATCTAGTTTTAAAAATACATTCATAGAAGAATATGAGTGATTTAATATGTACAATCTTTCATTAAATGCCTTGAGGTTGAAGAAGAGGTTGGGTAAAAAAAGATATTTTCAACTGTGATACTGCTCTAGTAATGTTTCCATGTAGTTTCCTTCTCATTGAAAAAGAAAAAGGCTGAAAAAGGAAGTCATTTGAGGTATTTTTAATTAATAGAAAGAAAGCATCTAGAGTAAGTTTAGTGTTCTTTTCAGGCAACAGGAGAGGCTAAGATAGAAATAAGAAATCAAGGGGCTTTCTGGAAAGTCCAGGAAGACATCCTGAAATGAGAAAGGTCTGGATTTCGGAGGCTTAAAATATATAGAATCATATTATTCAAGCCAGAAAGGACCTTAGCATTTCCTAAAACAAGCTTTTGGCTATCTTGGCTTCACATGTTTGTTCATCTTGTCCCTGTCCAGTGAGTAACAATCAACAAAAATGCCATTCTCTCTGAAATGTCTTTTGAGTTTTCCTGTCTTCCTGGAACAAATCCTACCATTTCCCCATCTCCTATAATAGCCTGTTTATATCTTTATTTTTATACTCATCACATTACATCTCTTTAATTATTTATTTAAACACTGTATGGATTAGGCTATCTTTTAATTAATTTTCTAATTTTAACTGTTTAACACAGAGAACCAGTAGAGGCTCAATAAATGTTTCTGAGTAAATGAAAAGAAGAAAAGAAGCACACATGGCTTGGGGTGTGGCTCAAGTGGTAGAGTGCTTGTCTAACAAGTATTGAGACCCTGAGTTCAATCCCAAGTACTGCCAAAACAAATAAAGAAACAAACAAAACAACAAAAACAAAGGAGAAGCACAAAAGTAACAGTCCCACTTGTTCCTGGACTACTAAAATTACACATGGGCATTAGTTTAGTCTGAGAGATATACTTTGAGAGAGATACTTAAATCAAAGTAGAAAATGTTGCAAAGAAGCCCAAAACAATGTCACCTGAGGCACAACTGAAGGAACTTCACAAACGTTTAGCATAAGAAAGCAAAGTCTCAGAGCTATTTCCCCAACCATCCAAGAAATATTTACAGTATTGTGCTGGATGCTGGGGATTCAGCCATAATCAAAATATCCTGTACTTGAGAGCTTCAGTCTAGTGAAAGACAAGAGACTAAATGGTTCTTTGTAATATGCTGTGGTAAGGGCTATAGTTGTAGAGGTGGAAGGTGGTATAGGAGCAACTGGAGGATTTGTGGAAGGCTGTCCAGAGGAAGTAATCTTAAGGCTCTTAAGAAAAAGTATAAAAGGAAAAGCAGGAGGCAAAGAGAAAGGAAACGTGTTTCTTTCCGACAGAAAAGCATGTATAAAGGCTTGAAGGTAAGAAAAAGTAGTTCTAAAAACTGGATCTTTTGATATAGTTGCTAGGTAGAGTTTAAAGAAAAAGTAGTTTAGAAAAGTGGTTGCAGACAGAAGCAGCACTTCCTCTACCATATTAATGAGTGGCAGAATCTTCTGAAGGATTTGGGGTACAGTCATTTTGGCTGCAATGTGAAGAATGGAGAGGAGTAAGGCTGGAGGCCAGGAGACTAGTTAGGAAGCTGTGCCAAAAATGTAAGTGTGAGATGAATGATGGTGGCCGGAAGTAGGAAAGTGGCAGAGGGGCAGTGAGAAGACAGTCCATAGAGCTTCTTTCTAATAACCAGTGGCCAGAGAGTAAATAATAGGATAACCTGTTCCATATGACCCTAAAAGTTAGAATGTGGCTAATAAAAATGACAAAGAAAGACATTTTGACCTGATATAGCTAATAGGAAGTGATTTACCTGAAGAGCTTGTAAGTCCCCAAGAATCTGAGTTCAAGACATTTTATAAGCAAACCAAAATGTCACATTTTGAAATGTGGTACAAAGACAGATTATTTTAAGGTCTTTTCCAGCACTGAGGTTCCACAAATCCCCTGAATTTTATTTTGGGTTGATATTTGGGGCTGCTCTCAATGCTCAATGGGAAAAAATATGCAGGATTAACTTATATCAGAGGATATATTTATGCTACTAATATTCTCAGGAGGAAAACTATACTTTGAAATGTTAAGATACACTTGCTAATTGATATACTTTATGTAAAAATGAGTAGCCATATTTCACAACTTCCCGTCAACAGATAGGATAGCTAAAGTTGTCACAGAACACTTAATATTATTATTCATATCAGCAACAAACCCCAAAATTGCAGCAGTTAGCCCTGAGTGTCTGTCATTTGCTTGCATCATACCAGACTAGCTCAGTATCTCCAGTGTTCACAACAGCCAAGGAGGTTTTATGCTCATTCTAAAGATGAGGAAATTGGCTCCAAAAGATTAAGTAATTTGCCTGAAGTTACCAAACTGATGAGTGGGAAACAGGAATTTGAACCAAATCCTGTCTGACTCCTATCTCTATGCTTTTTCTGTTATACACCAGCACCTCAGAAAGCTTGAGGAAAGTTTTAAAGAATAATGATAACTATCATTTGGTAACCAAGTGCCAAGCACCTTTACCTGCATTATTTCACTTCATTCACTTATACAGCTCACATTCATAATACCACACTTCAAAGAATGTCAGATTTGACTGACAGTAAAGCCTGAGTATAATCACTAAACAGAATGAAAATAATTCTCTAGAGCTGAAAAATATTTGAGTTTTTAAGATGTTTTCACATTCATTAGCTCATGTAACCTTTTTCATAACCCTGTGAAGTAGGAAGAATGGGATTATTACTCCCATTTTACAAATCAGAAAACTAAGGTTCAGAATCATAAAGTGACTAAGTAGAAGAATTGGCTTTCAATAAACCAGGAATTTTGGCTTTTAATCTAGTGTTCTATAATCTTCTGTGTCAGTGGACAATGACGGAAAGTACATCATAGGAAGAAAAGGCAAGAGTAAGCAACTAGACATTGATAATAATAGAGCTGGACACATGAAACTGCAATAACAAAATATATAAAAATACTTGAAAAAAAATTGGTAACAGTACTAAGAAATCAACATTTATGTAATACATGGAAGGATTTTTAAAGGAGTCTGAGACATTAAGCCTGATGTTTACATAGGAACTCTGAAAGTATACTGAGAATATTAGTATTAGTTTTATTTCTCAAATCCTAGACCTGAAGTACATTATGCAGGGATGAAAATCAAATGCAAGATCAATCTGACTTGTTACTTGATAATATTTTAGTTCATAAATTTAGAAAATCTTTAGGTTTAATTTTAATTTAGTCCATCTTATGAGCAATTTCTTTTGTCCCAAAAGAATAATTCATGAACAATGGGGATTTGTTTTAGTTCTGGATTCTGTGATTTAAGAAGTCACTGTCAGTGTGGTTACATTTTCTTTCCTCCCTTGAACTTTACCTTAAAGTATCCCCCCTTCCTTTTTGTTAGCTTGATCTGTGGTCTTCTGATAAGTAGGACTTGGTGAATACATGGGCTAATTAAGTACACAAGAACACAAGAGTTCACTGGTTTATGAAATAGAGATACATGTAATTCTTTTCCTAGTGGATGAAAACTGGTTACAATCTAATTCCTGGTCTAGTCATTCCCCCTTATTTAACAGAAACAAGGAAAGTATCTTACCGAGCTCCAGGATGTCAGCAGTTTCTATTAAAGAAAAAAAATGTTAAAGCATAGGTCATCATGAAAAACATACTAAGATGACAGAAAGGTCAAATTCTGGGGTCAAAATAGGAATCTGAAAGTTTTCTAGTCTAATTATCTTATTTTAAAAGAGAGAGCATATTAGTACTTGTAGAAATACATCATCCAATTTTGCCTTCCTCCTAGGCCTAAATGAATAAAAACTGTGGAAAGGCAGAGGCTAAGCAGCTCTATGCTCAAAGCTATGGAGCTAATTTTGGACCATTTATACTTAGAATTTAGGTTTCTTGATTTTCAGCTCAAAATAAAGTACATTGGTTTGACAAACACCTCTGTAAATGACAGTATTTGCTTTTGATTTAACCAATGAGTTATTGCTAATTAAGACCTTTAAGAACAAAGGTTTTATGGTGACAGGTGTTAAATAAAATTTTTTCATGCTAAATAGTTTTTTTACCTTGATGTTGGGATGCAGACTCTGATAGGTGACCATATTTGTGTTTTCTAACATCATTCCAGTCTATTGCTGCAGAAAGAGAGAAAGTAGTCATATGCAAAAATAATGTAAGATTAAATAATTCTCCAGCTTGGCATATGCATTAGTAGTTTTTTTTTTCTTTTTCTCTTTTTTTTTTGGAACTAATGGGGACTGAACTGAGAGGGCCTCGCATTGCTAGGTAAGAGCTCTACCACTTGGGATATGTTTTTGAGACAGGGTCTTCTAACTTTTTTTTCCTGGGGTGGCTTCAAACTTGTGATCCTCTTGCCTCCACCTCCTAAGTAGCTGGAATTACAGGTATAAGCCAGCATGCCCAGCTCAGTAGTTTTTAATAAAAGTAATTCATTTCTGAGATTCTATTCTAAGGAAATAATCTACGTACAGAAAAAAGATTTTATTTAAAATGCTTTAGTATTGTTTATAAAAACAGAAAAGGAGGAGAAGTAACACCTAAATGTTCAAAACAAATTTGAGTAAGATTTGTCTGTATAATCACTTGGCAAAGTATTTTGCAGCTGTAAAATTTTTACAAAGGCTAAGAAATAAATGGAAGAATGTTTTAAGTTACAATGGTATTAGGTAAAACATGGGAACAAAAATTATGTTTATGAAATAATGACAATTATGCAAAAAACCAGAAACAAAGAATATTCCAATGGCTGAATTGGAATACTCCAAAACTTCATATTTAAGTTTCCACTCCATCAGAATGTGACTGTGTTTGGAGACAGAATCATTAAACAGGGTAATTAAGTTAAAGTTAGGTCTTTAAGGTAGGTTCTAATTCAATGACTGGTATCCTTATAAGAAGATGAAATTTCTCCTTCCTTCCTTCCTTCCTTGAAGAAGAAAGAGGAGAAGGAGGAGGACAAGGAGGAAGAAGAGGAGGACGAGGAGGAGGGGGAGAAGGAGACTATTTGGCTGGGGGTGTGGCTCAATGGTAGAGTGCTTGTCTAGCATTTATAAAGCCCTCAATTTGATCCAGAGTACCCACCCACACCTACAAAAAGGAGATTTAGGTATAGAAAGGGTCAGAGAAAAGATTAATTTCTGTTTTAAACTACCAAGTTGTCATCTTTGTTATCATAACCCTAACAAATTAAGACAATCTCCAAATTATCACTGGGAAGCAGAAAAAAAAAATGGAAGTAAACACAGCAAATGCAAATAATTGGTTATCTTTGGTAGTATTGGATTCTATCCCTTTCTATTTTCTAATCATATATTTTCAAATATGTATTTTATAGAGAGGACACACTGCTCATATAATAGGAATATATTTTTCTTGTTTGGATATTTAGATTTAGCTACTGACTCTAGCACTTTCTCATCACCTATTACCCATCAGCTTTCAGTTTTCTTCTTACCCAGCTCAGATTTTAATGGTCTCTCATTAAAATTACTCCCTGACAAATATTCTTAACTCTCTCCTTTTTTTTGGGTCAAACTTATGTAGGAAAGTCTTAACCCAAACTCTGGTTAAATCCACTATCAATTTATACTGTGCTTACCCCAGCAGTTCTAGTGTTAAAGAAAAACAAATGCAAGCTTACTGGTTTCACTTTTAAACTCATGGTCACAAGTCTCAAATGCTACTTCACATTACCCAGAAATCACACATTTCTCCACTATGTTTGCTTTTCTGCTGTCCAAAAGAAAAATACATGTATCTTTTTCTCTCTCCTCAAGCTCCAAATATTCCTGCTCCTAATGTTATTCTTCATGGGGGACTTTTAATTTGGGGTTCAATGAGAGATTGGAACCCTTTCACTCATTTCACAAAGGTAAACAACCTTGTCTAGTGGTTTACCACCAGCGTGTAATATAGTAGCAGGTGCTCAATTTTGGGTGAGTATTTACATATTATTCTTTCGAACTTCTCTCCTGTTATTGTGCATCAAGTATCTATTTTTATCAAAAGCTGGTTCTCTATGCTTGCTCCAGATTCTAACATCTTTATCATCTCAAAGACTTTGCAAACATCCTCTTTTAATAGATATCTGCAAGATTATTTCCTATTGGAGTGCTTGCCTAACATGCACAAAGCCCTGGGTTCACTCCCCAGCACTGTAACAAAACAAAAACAAGCAAAATCCAAAAATAGTAAGTAACAACAAAACTTCCCTCCCCAAACCAAACAACCAGATTTAAAAATGAACTGTTGATCCTTTTTAGGAACAACAAAAAGGAATTGTTGTTAGGAATGTAAATTAGTATAGCAACTATAGACAGCAACATGGAGGTTCCTCAAAAAACTAAAAATAGGGCTGGACTTGGTAGCTCATGCCTATAGTCCCAGTTACTTGGGAAGCAGAGATAGGAAGATTGTGATTTGAGACCAGCCCTGGCAAAAAAAAGTTAGTGAGACCCAATCTCAAAAAACAAGCTAAATATAGTAGTTCACATCCATAATCCCAGCTAAACAAGAGGTGGAGTAGGAGAATTGCAGTCCAAGGCTAGTTCCTGGCAAAAGTTTGAGACCATATCTGAAAAATAACCATATCAAAAAAGAGGCTGGGAGCGTGATCCAAGTGGTAGAGTGACCTGCATAGCAAGTGTGAAAGAATCCCAGTACTGCTAAGAAAAAAAAAAAAAAAAAACCACCACTAAAAAATGTAACTACTATATGATTCAGTTATACCACTTCTTGGTATATAACCCAAAGGAATCAAACCCACATATGACAAAGATACATCCATGTTTACATCACAGCACAATTCACAATAGCCAAGTCATTGTATCAGTCTAGAGACTCATCAAAAGAAAATGTAGTATGCCCTTTGAACAATGAATTTACACTTAAAAAATGAAGGTCAGAATTGGAAAACAGGTCCTGTTGGGGGAGTATTAGTGGGAAGGTGTATGGAGAGGGTGAAGGATGGTAAATATGGTTAATGTACTTTATATGTTTGTATGAAAATAGAACAATGAAACCTGTTCAAATTGTTTTAAGTGGATGAGGGATGAAGGAAATGATGGTGGGGGTGAATCTAGCCAAGGTATACTATAAGCCTATGCAGAAATATCACAATGATGCCCCACTCCTGTACAACTAATGTATGCTAATAAAATGGGTTTTGGGGGGCTGGACCAGGGTTTGAACTTAGCTAATAAATGTTTTTTTTAGAAGAAAAGATGGTGTACATATACAATGGAGTACTGTTCATCTATAAGGAAGAAAGACGTCATGTCATTTGCAAGAAAATGGACGGAACTGGAGATCATGTCTAGTGAAATAAGCCAAATTCAGAAAGACAAATATTACATGTTTTCTCTCATATTCAGAATCTATATTTTTAAGAGACATGAAAGTAAAAGGGGGACTATTTGGGAAGAGGAGGGGGACTACTGGGAAGGGGGACAAGAGAAGGCAATGGGAGTGAATATGATCAAAGTACATTAAATACATGTATGAAATGTGACAATAAAATCCATTATCTTGTATAATACATACATGCTAATAAAATTTTTATAAAAAGAGGTTTTGAAAACCATTCTCCAAGCACCCTCCTCACCCCTCTTTTATAACCTCCTATTGCATTCTTCCATTGTTCTGCTCTCCTTTACAGGAAAATTTGAGTTGTCTGCAGTTATTGCCTCTTACTTCCTTACATTGTCTCCTCATTCAAATAGGGTTTTTGTGCTCACCATTCCACTGAAATTGCTTCCAAATTTACATTTCCAGCACTGGCTTCTACTTGGAATACCACACTCACATACACAGCCATTTCCATGATTCTAAATCAGATTTTTTTTTTTATCTTAACATGGCTAAAACAGAATGCCACTCTCTGCCAACCTGTTCTTTTTCTTTTCCCTACTCAGTAAATGGCACTTATGTTGCACGGAAGCTATTAGCTATTGATGAGCTTGACAGCATGATCTTGTACTCTCTAAGGCCAAACTACCAACAGCCACTTTTGAGTGTGTAATCAGTTATGTTAGAGACAAACACTGAGCCCCCACATGGCGTCACTCTCCAGGGTGATCAGTCAGCTACTTGATAGCAAATTGATTATACTGAACCACTTCCATCCAGGGCAACGTTCTGTCCTTTCTGAATGGACACTTAACTCTGGATATGGATTTACCTCCATGCATGCAATGCTTTTGCTGAACGACGACCACAGACTCATAGAATGCCCTATCTACCCCATCATGGCATTCCATACAGCATCACTTCTGAAAAAGGAACTCATTGCTCAGTCAAAGAAATGCAGCAATGGTCTTATGCTCATGGTATTCACTGGTCTTACCACAGCTCCCACCATTCTGGGGAAGCTGGGAATGGCCTTTTGAAGACTCAGTTACAGAGCCAGCTAGGTGGCAACACCTTACAGGGAAGTAAGGTTCTCTAGGTCTGTGTATGATCTGAATCAATATCCAATATATAGTACTACTTCTCTGACAGCCACAATTCACAGGTTCAGGAATCAAGCAGTGGAAGTAGGAGTGATACCACTCACCATTATGCATAAGGACGTACTAGCAAAATGTTTGCTTTCTGCTCCTATGACTTTATGTTCTGCTGGCCTGGAGGTATTGTAACAGTGGCTACTCCTTTTGGAGTTGTCCTTGGCAGAGTTACTTATGCCTTTTGAAAGAAATACCTTTCTTCCCTTTTGCTGGCCCACTCTAAATTCTAGAGAAGCCATCTGAATAATTAATATGTTAACTGCTAACTAATCTTTTTTTTTCAGATTTACAGAACCCAGAAAAATTGGTGATCTTCAGATAACATCAGAATGTATAACACCCTTTCTTAAGTTCTTTGCCACAATTAGCACAAAGCATGAAAACTGCTGTAAGATTTAACTTGCAGAAAAGTAATATGTCTGTTTTAGGAAAATACAGGTACTAGTGTCAGGAGGTGAAGGTAGAATGTGATGTTTCAACCAGAGCGGGGAAAGAAAAGGACACATCCTTTGGATGACAAAGCCCTCATTCTGCATGTCCCTTTCCTCCCTATAAAGGCCCTTTGTGCTCCTGAGTTTTGAGAACAATAACCCGTTCATCTTCTAGAAAAC